AGAAAGAAAGAAAGAAAGAAAGAAAGAAAGAAAGAAAGAAAGAAAGAAAGAAAGAAAGAAAGAAAAGGGCTACCAAGAGACTCAGGTAGAGCTTGCTGTCTTGGATTGTGTGCACATACCTCATTAACAAACCCCACCCCCTGGAATCTAAGGTGTTGGGTAGGACTAAGGACTGTACGGTATATGAACAGACACTAGGTCATACATGAACTGAGAATTATGGAGGAGTCTTGATTCAATACTAATGGAAGAGTTCTTATATTTATGAGAATTTGGGGAAAGTTTCAGAAGATACTGCCACATCACATGGCAGGCCATTGTTTATCATCATGTTGGCTCACGCTACTTGGTCAAGCAATGCTCAGAGAACTCACACTAAGGAAGCAGAGGTAATGATGCAGGTAAGGAAGCAGGAGTTAACGATGTCCCAGAAACATGATCTTTAGGAACAGCAAGGACAGTGGACACAGGATAGACCACATGGAGAGTAAACAACAAAAACAGCCTTTATCCAAACACAAGGGTACTGTGCACACCAAAATCAAAGAGAAACAAAAGCAGTGAAAAATGCCAGGAAGAGCAAAGGCACTACAAAGGGGAGAGGCAATTAAAACATGTACATTACTCAGGCTCCAGTGGCCATAGTCAGAACATGATAAATATTCATAATTACATATCCAAAAATCAGGACAGGGACATTTGGAAGATAACAAAGGTATCTGATGGCATCGGGGAGCTAATCCTTCAACCATCATGTAGGAATATTAATAAATATCCAAAATTAGTATAGCAAACCAGTTAATATCTCACAATGATAGCTATAGCAATAAAGGGCTAGTAAGTTAAAAGTGATGGTAATAACTGGAAAAGCATGGGAACTGCAGGCTGCTGGTTTTCTTGGTCACTAGCTTTTCTTAAGCATATTATTTTAACTTTTAAGATCATTAAAGTATTTGAAGTACGGCAGGGACTCTGTGTCATCTGAGAGGCCCTTGGGTATCTATGGAAGAATCCTATCTACCGAGAGAATAGAACCAGGCTCAAATAGTTCTTGGCAGAATCTCCTTCCTCGGGGAAAAATATCTCTAATAGGAAGAAAGCAAGACATCATGAGATCTTAGGGATGAAAAGAATGCAGATATTGCTCTCTCTCCAGATGACTCATCCTGTGGCTTCTAACTGTGGACTGTTGGAATATGTTTCCTGACCAGCTAAGCCTGGGCAGGTGAAGGGCTGTGGGTGTTCACAGCCAGAGCTGGGGGGTGGGGGAGGTTGGAAGGTACTGAGGCTCTCACTTACGTGCACACACTCCTATTGCGTACCTCGGGCGGTCCCCACTGTAATCGCAGTAGAGGCCCCGGTGTGGGTCACAGACGGCAGCCTCCGTGCAGTTGTCCCCGAGCTGCTGGGCACATATCTTACAGCATTCACAGCCATCTGTGATTAGGCTGACGCCCAGGGGACAGTGAGGTGGGGACTGGGGGCACTCACATGGCCACTTGCAGAATTCAGGGCGTGCCGTCGTGTCCTCCAGCGGTGCTGGAGTGAAAGTCCTGGTTGTGAGCGTTGGAGAGAGGGCCTGTGAAGAAAGGGTAGAGGTAAAAAGGGGTTGTTCAAACCCAAATGGCTGCAATGGCCTTCCCACCTTTTTTGTGCTTAGAGGATTTCACAATTATTAACTTCCATACGATCGATCAATTGACAAACATCAATTTTCTTTCAATAAAGTCAAGATTAAAGGACTGAAAGGTCAGAGCCTGGCATCCTCCCCTACCCACTTGGCTTCCTTCTTTCCTTGATGTCTCATTAGCCCTGGCGGTATGTGTGGTAGCATTAAGTTATAGAAGAGAAAGCCCAGGATTTGGGCTGCAGACTTGCTGATAAGTGTTGCTGTTGGGGCAATGCTCACAGTCTATAGCTGTTGTTCCCTCCTGCAGCGCCAAGCTCTTTCTCCTCTAAGTCTTCTGTGCCTGGTGGAGTCAAATGGCTCTCTCTCTCTCTCTCTCTCTCTCTCTCTCTCTCTCTCTCTGTATTGTGTGTTGACCTGTGTGAACATACCTGTGTGTGCATGTCTCTGTGTGTGTATGTGTGTGTAGGCCAGAGGACATCCTCAGCTGTTTTTCTCAGGTGTTACATACCTTGTTTTTTTTTTTTTTTTTTTTTTTTTTTTAACACAGGGCCTCTTACTCTTGAACTTACTCACTTCACTTAGCTAGCTAGGGTAGTTGTCAGTCAACCCTAGGGACCTGTCTGTCTCCATCTCTCCAGCTCTGGGATTACAAACACACATCTGGGTTTTCAGATGGGTTCTAGGAATGGAACCAGATCCTCCTGCTTGTGTGGCAAGCTTTTTACTGACTGAGATGTCTCTCCAGCCCCAGCATGGCTCTTCTCTAACTCCAAGTTCAGTGGGCTAACTTTTTACTAGCTGCAGCAGGAGATTTCCGGCCTCAGCTCTTTGCAGCTCTGTTTTCCCTGGCTCTTAGCAGAGAGAGCTGAGCTCCATGACTCAAGTAAGCCAGGTGGAAAAGAGTCATAATTTTTCATTCAGAACAAATTCCTTATTTCTCACACCTGCATCCCTCCCCAACAGACCCATTCCATATCCCAGCCAACAAGTTCATCTTCCCTCTGAAAAAGGTGGTAAACAGAAGAATGGGTCAGCTGGGAAGGGAAGCCAAGACCTTGTTTGTGTTTTGTCCTGGATAGCAGGCAGGTGGAAGGACCCCAGCACAAGACCATCCAGACTCCTGTATCTCTGTAATCCGAGCACATCTTGGCTGACTGCCTTCCTGACCCCATCTGGTTCCTTGTCCTTCAGTGGAAGAAACTGAGGCCCAAAAGTTGGAGAGAATCACCTGCACCCTTTAGTTTCTTCTGGGCTGTTTCAGACATTTATTAGACCTTTGCTGAGCTAGCCCACCAGCCTTCTCTATGTTTTAGACACTTGGAAGTATGTGAAGCTCATGCTACATATAGGAGAGACAAGCATTAGAAGTTATGGATCATAATATAGGACTCCAGGTGCTGTGGAAAGTTCAAAGAAGCTCTCTGGAACTCAAGGCAAGAATAACTCAGGCTAAAAAGAACTAGATGAGCTGCTGCATTAGTCTGACCTGTAGGTCCCTGGACCTGTAGCATCATAAGGTGCACAGATACTGACACAAAGAAAAGAAGTCTTGGAAGGCCAGCAATGTGACTCTGGTGGGCCTGTGTTACCTGTAGCTTCGATTTAAAGCCTAGACACATCACTTCTAGGCTTAATTTAACGCCCAGCCTAGTATATCCTTTCCCTGCTTCAAGGCATCTTCAGTGTAATTCCCTGTGGCTGAGATAAATTTCCTGAGATAAATCTACTGTGACACTCTGAACCTCGATTACTATATGCTTTTAGTGTTTACGGAGTGACAGACTACCTTGGGGACAGACACAGTGGCGTTCTGTTAGGGCTTTGTTTCTCTCTCTGCCTGAATACAACACAATGTCCACAGTGGGGTTCTGTAGGTGATGGTTTGTGAGGGATTTCTGGCTGAAAGTGGTGTGGGACATCACACTCTGAGCCAGTCTGTCCTCTCAGGGTTAAGCTTGAGCACCAAAAATATACGGACTCGGAGAGAGTGAGATAGGGGTGTTCCAAGTAGGTTTGGATACTCATCCCAGCCCTCCTGAAGCCTGTACTGGGTACATGAGTGTCACATTGAGAGATGTTATGAGGTCAAAGGTATAGAGGGTGTGTAAACACAGGGGCTTAGTATGTGAAGGATGCTTAGAGCACCCCTCCCCAAACCTGTCCAGCTTACTGGAACAGGCTATAAGCTGGTGTACCAGACTCTATGGGATCACCATCAGCCTTCTCCCTTCATCTCAAGTAAACAAGCTCAGTATGCAGCCTTCCTTCTCTGTAACTTCCTAGAGGCCTCCAGGCTTTTAGGTTGGGAAGGTAGGAAGGCCTCCTCGGGTTTAGGAGATGCTCTGGGCAGTGACTGGATGGGCAAACCATGCCTTGGATTAAGTCTTAGCTGTTGGTGCCATCTAGTGGTGCCAAGGCTTCTAGCTAGCCCAAGCAAGAAGCACTTCCAGGATTTTATGTGACCTGCCTGATTCCTGATGTCTTGCCCAGGGTTGATATCCATGATGTATGACTAGAGCCCAGTAGTTAGTTCAGCCTCCCAGTGATAATTCTTTGAAACATGCAGGGATACACAGGTGGCTGTCAGGGAATTTCTACCTCCCGGAGAAAGGCTGGACAGACAAGGAAATGCACACCAGCTCTTTGGCTGATGAATCCACAGATGCTTACTGAACACCTACTGTATGTTAGGCTCTGTGATGGGCAGTATTGCATAGAGTCTCTCCTCACTAACATATACCGACGTTGATATGTACAAGATAATTACAACCAAGGTGATCCATGCTACAGTTAAATTACTCGTTCATTTCATTTGTTTACACAACACAATGCTAGCTTTTACTTTGTTTTGGCTGCTGGGCTGGACAGGTACACCTGACTTCAAAAGTAGAGAGAAAGAATTTGTTGCTTATACAGGGCCAGGCCAACTTCTCCAGTGAGGTGGCAAGGCTTTAGAAACCATGATGGAAGAACAATAATGCACGCAGGGTAAGGAAGGAGGGCAGGGGAGCAGCTAGCACACAATACCAAGTTGATGACATGCAGTGTCTGAGTGCAGGAGCACCTGTGCAAGTCAAAGTGGCTGTGAAGAGGCAGGGGCTGGCTGCTGGTATCCATGGAGTGTACTGGTCAAGAATAGTCACTCACTGAGAGATTTTAGCAGGAGATGCTTGGGGAAGATCTGGGCTTGGAGCAAAACCACACTGCCACTGTGCCAGGCTTTTGTTTGTCATCATTCCTATGGCATGAGGGTTTTCTCTCCGAGGCTCAGCTTTCTCCTCTGCAAGTGGCATTCTTGCTTATTCCCAAGTAACAACTCTCTGCTGTAGTCTGTAGCTGCTTAGTCTGTCTACTGAGGGCTACTAGCCTGAGGACACTTGAGAGTAGCCTAGCATAGGTGCGCTGATCTCAGATTACCTCAATTTCCCCACGGCGATGGGTATTTTATTTGTATTTTATAGATCAGTGAGATGACTACCTCTGAACATGGATTAGAACTCAGAGCTGCTGGATTTAATATTATTCCTACTGTATGGTACACGGAGGAAGAATTTCTTGATGGGAGAAACTAGCTGAAAGGCACTCAAGATAGCATCTGGAGAGGCAACCAAGAAGTTCTTGGGAACTGGTGAAATGACTCAGCCATAAAAGTCTGATGACCTGAACTGGATCCCTGGAATCCACGCATAAAAGACACATGTGATAGCATGCAACTCTAATCCCAGAACTTCCATAGTGAGACAGGACAAGGAGAGAGGAGGATCACCCCGAATCCAAGGACCAGCCATCCTGATGTGCGTAGGACAGCAGAAATAGCAAGAGACATCCTGTTTCAACAAGGTGGAAGGAGAAAACCAACTCCAGAAAGCTATCTTCTGAGCTCCACATGCACACACACACTGATACTAAATAAAAAGGAAGAACAACAAAAAACCCCTAAATAACTAAAAATAACTAAATATAAAAAAAAACTAAAATAACTAATTATGCGTGCAGAGATCAGGTCTCACAAAGCTAGGCACATAGTAGGTGCCAATAAGCCCCTATGAGCAGAAATGGTGAGTTAATGTCCTCGACTGAACTTTGAACCCTTGAGGGCAGGGTCACCGGCTGCTCCCCTGTTTTGTGGCGTGAATAAGCACAGAAGTCCTTGAGATCTCAAAGCTAATATTATGGAGGGATCCTGATTGCATTGTGAACACACTAGTTCATACATTGTTTAACAGATTACAAAGTGGGTCTGCTGATTTTCCTCAGAGTGGTAAGGAACTGGGCCCTCAGAGAGCCTAAGTGACCTGATAATTGGTCTGTAGGTCAGAGATGGAACCAAGTTGCTCTCTCTTTCCAAAGCTTTAGGAAAAAATATTATTATTATTATTATTATTATTATTATTATTATTATTATTATTAGTGTCTGTGTGTATGCCATGTGTGTGCAGGTACCCACAGAGACCAGAAGAGGGTATGAGATCAGAGCTAGAGTCATAGGAGGTTGTGAGCTGCTGTACACAGATTCTGAGAACTGAACCCTGGTCCTCTGGAAGAGAAGCAGTTTCTCATAACTGTGAAGGCAGATCTCCAAACCTTCCCTAAGGCTTTTAAGCAATTAACTTGTGTGCTCTTGCAAAAAACCCATGGGAAGGACTGTGCTCCTGAGGCCTCTGATGGCCAAAGAGAGCAGGACTTGGTGACCCTTGTGTTCAGAATACAAACAGCAAGCCCATCCCTACCCTGTGGAAGCAACAGGCATGCTAGCAAGCCCAATAGCTCAAAAAGCTTAGCCTCACATGGTCTGGGAGCATGGCCTTGGGTGAGGTGGGAGGATGGTGAGGATCTCCCGGTGATCCAAAGGGAGGAACAGCCCTTCCTGCACTTTAAGGTGCCATATAATTTCCCAGAGGCAGTCTCCTTTTGGGAGACACTGCACTGGACCCATAGACCCTCTTTCT